TGCCATATAGAATATTGGATTTCCACCAAAGCATCTTTGAAGGATATTTTGTCTATTATGACTCTCTATTTTCTTCAAAAAAGATTGCAACTGCCATTTTTATTAAACAAAATTTGGTTCTTGTACTATGACAAAAATTGGCCCATATTGAGTTTTGTGATTTGGCACTATCTATCTATGTAACGGTATCAATAATGAACCTCATTGATATTATTATGATACATATTCTTATGAGAATATGAAAATAACAAGAGTGGTCAGTTGTTAGAATAATGTGAAGTTTATAATAAATAAGCAAAATAGCAACAATGCATTGGCAATTTGATCAAGTTAAAAGGGCTAATTTGTACTGTAATACTTGAAAAATGTTAAATTGGTAAGCATGCCTTGCCTAATGGTAACATGGTGATGACAATTCCTATTTGATGCTAGATAAGGTATTGATTTTAGTTCCAATTATATAGCAACATTGTCTTCATTATCATTATTAATAAATTTAGAAAAAAAAATCTTTCTTTTTATTATATATTATACAACTCCAATAGATATAATCAATGCAATATTACCAGATTTAATTAATTAATTATATAGTTTATTTTTTATATTATTATATACTGAATTCTATTAGTTCTTACATATAATTATTTATTAATCCATTTTTATTATTGAATTAAATTTATAAATTCCATCCAATTTAATAAATCTATTTTAAATCATAAACAAAACTAATAATTAGAGAGGATTTGGTTTGATTACTCCTTTAGATCCAAAGAAATTGTCTAATATTGGAATTAATTGTTGTGCAACTGTGAAAGAGAAAACCAATTTAGGACCAACGACAATTATTTTAGGTGTTATTCCTTTAAAGAATGCACTTGTGCCTAAAAAACAATGATAATAATGATAATATTATTAATAATATTATTATTAAAATTCAAAAAAAAAAAAAAAAAAAGGTAAAATTTTAATTTTTAAATTATTAACCTTCTTTGAGTATCATTTTGCGAATAATTTGTGTCCCAGTTTCAGGTGAATCAAAAGGTCTATTTTGGATACGAGTTTTAACTACATCAAGTGGTTGAGCCACACTGATAGAAGCAATAGCACCACCAATTGATGCACAGAAATTTTGAAAAAATGTTGCTTTCGAATAATCTTTTAATCCAAACAAATATTCTTTAACAAAAGCTGAGCCACCAAACTAACATTTAATAATAATGATTATCATAAAATTTAATTAATTACTGTTAAATTTTAATATAATAATAATATTTTTAATATTATGATAATATATGAAATAGTTTTCTTACTAATGCAAAACTTCCTGGTGCATTACGTGCTGCTGTCCAAAGGCCACCCCTGAATACATATTTATAAACCAATTAATATTATAGAGTTGTTGTTGTTGCTGTCTAATTTAATATAATAAAAAA